CACCGCTACCACCACCACCACCACCAACACCACCACCACCACCACCACCACCAACGACAACAACACCAGCCCCAGCACCAGCAGCCCCGGCCCCGCAGCCCCAGCCCCAGCCGAACGCCCAGCAACAGCAACAGCAACAGCAACAGCAGCAGCAGCAGCAGCAGCACCAGTATCAATATCAGTATCAGTATCAGCATCGGCATCCTGGCTCTGATGATCACCATAGTCTCAACATCATCCCGACGGCAAGGCAAACAGCCTGCATCTGCATCACACACCCTCCGGAATGCACTCCTACTGCCTAGACCGAACAAGCTTCGTCGCGCGCGTGGCACCTCTTCCTCGTGCATCTGGAAGCCGTACCTTTGGGGATGCTCGAACGGCGTCTCCAAGACCAGAGAAGGTGGTCTGGGCTGCAGGATGCCCCTTTTTGTGGCCTCATGAGCCCTAAACCCTTCAACCCCAAATCTTCCATAGCTCAAGGGACTCTTGCACTCTACCCTGAAGATTCTGAGACCATAGACCATAAAAGTGCTTTGAATGTGCTCCACTCCATCTCTAGCCTCAGACACCCTCAACGCACAAAGTTGAAATCCTGACAGCCTAAGCAGTAAGGGACCTACGCCCTAAACTTCACATGTAAACCCTATAAGCATAAAGGGCGCTTGAAAAGAAGCCACTGGAAATAGGTGACGCTGACCACGATCTTGACCTGAGGGATGCGTTTTGCGCTCAGTGTCGCTTAGGGTGTCTATAGGGCTTGAAGGGTAGGGGTCTACAGGATAGGGTCTAGGCTTCTGGACTGTAGAACTGCACAACTAGCGATTGGGGTTTGCGGTTACAGCGATCAGGCCTGTCAGGGTTTATGGTCATACGTTCGGAATTTTAACTGTTCTTCATGATGACGGTTCTTGTGGTCACCATCCTATCCCTGTATGGCGGATTTCCACTTGAAGTCTGTAGTAAGCAATGAAAACAGTCTGATGACTTGACGTTCTTTTGGAGAACAATGAGAGCCTGAATACCTCAAACAGGGCCTTGGGCTTGCTATACTAGAGGGTGAGTACCAAATGAATGCGCACTCTCTAGCGCAAAGTGTCTGTTCCTCCGAAGAACCTTGCATCTCCCCATATACAGTGGTTGTTAATTATCAGGCCATTGGTCTTAGGCAGTGGAGTATTAGGGTTGGTCGTCGGAAAAGGGACAGCCGTTACAGTACATCGGGCGGAGCTCGCTGTAGCCAGCGGCAGCAGCAGCGTTAACAAACCAGGATGGATGTCATGTCTGCAAACACTTCTGTCTTCGATGTGATTCAACAGCTTTTGCCAAAAAGTTCCAGCATTGTAAAAAGTCGGCAGGAAGTGCGTGTGCATCACCCTTTCGGAGAAAAGACAGAGCCTGTGATCTTGCCACTGCTGCCAACAGCTAGCCTCAGAAACCCACGCCAACACATCCCAAATCTCCCTGAAGAAAATGCTGCAGTCAAACGCATTCCCCAGAATCACGTCCTTTACGACATTCTTCGGCGTTCCTGTGCTGCACCTCTCAGGAACCCGGCGCCCCAGAATTTCCAATAGGGCTGGATTCCGTGAAGGTAATCTTGGAACACCTCGGGCTGCAAGATCTGGAGACAGGTTTGCTTGGCTGGCTCTTGCAGTAAAACTGCTAATTAGTAGGAGGATTCATAGCACTGGTAAGCAGAAGGCCATTCAGTCGTGGTGAGAGCAGTAGTAATGATAACTAGCAGCAGAGATAAGCACCATTGGAACAACGGCCTGCAATTTCTCAGCAGTATGGAGCAAGTAGTATGCAATCAGCAGGTTTCCGAACCGAACCCCAACCTCTGCGAGCCCTAAACAACTGATGCCGTGAAGTGCTCGCAAGACAATGATTCTGTCCTGACCGCTGTGCCTGAGGCAATGCAACGGCTTCTTACCCGGCTGCACTAACGAAATTCGGCTTGAACACAAATGGTGATACCTGTACAGACAAGCGTGATTGGAAAAGACAAGAATAAGAGTTCTGGCGCTTCCCAATACCTAAAAGCCAACCATGATTGAGCGCATTTTGGTGCGTGAAGTTTCTGTAGACTCGGATCGTTTAAGAATTTTTGGGAGTAGGGAGTAGAGAGTTTAGAGGGATGGGCCTCGTAGGGCAGAACCCTGGCAAGAGTCCATGTAGAATCCCTCAAAGGGCCCAACATTGCAAGCTCCGAGCTCCCTGCCCGCTCGAAGGCAACTACGAAGATCAGAGCGAAGCTGCAAAGAATGTAGATGATCCTCGGGAGTCGGCTAAGGTTTTAGGATTTCAGCTCCTTCTTTTTGGTTTAGACTCTTCTCGCTGGCCAACTTCCGGACTCTGCGGCTGTGTGGAAAGTCACGACTGTTCTTGGTCTATATCTACAACCATGTGGCTGCAGGGGGCCTGTTGCTGAGACTCTCCCGGTCACACGCTGAGGGGAGCTCCCCTGCGTCGATTGGTAGAAGTTCATGTCGTACCAGACGTTGCAGTTCTCGCATTTCTTGTAGACCTGCCAGCGCTCTCTGCTTAAACCCGACAGTCTGACAAACAGTCTAAACCCATCTAAACCCTACAGCCTCAAAATCAATACGCAAGTAAATTCAGAACCCTGAACCCCCAAAGCGAAAGCGAGACCCTGAACGTGAACTCTCTCTATAAACCCCGACAGCAACAACACAAACAAATCAACGACAACCGTTGGCCCGACCTTCGGCCTCAAAACCTACCAACCAGTAGGCGGCTGGATTTATAGGCAGGCCCAGGCCCCACAACAGTCGCAGGCGCACCCAGTAGCACACTGTTGGCATGCTCGGCGCTAGGATGCCCTTGAAAATGACCTGCAGTGGCATGGGAAAAACTGCAACTAAAGCTTTCTAACACAGCATAGCCGAATAAAGCAGAATATAACATGACTTCACACATTATAGCACAATATATCTTGATGCAATAAAATACATACAAAAAACATCTTTTGCCGTTTAACAACATGTACCATAGCACAAGATGGTGTTACATCACTGGCATAGAAATACCAAGACATAACTGAACGACACAAAAACATAGCATAGCCAATAGAAAACAATCAACATAATCCAGCACAGAATATCACACCTTACAAGCAATCTCAAGCAACCAAACCAAGGTGGATAACCGACTATCGTGTGTAGTAACTTGGCCTAACGTACTGCAACACAAAACAAGCACACAAACATACGCAAAAAGATGAACACTGTTGTCATTGCGGCCCAAAGAAATAATGACATCAACCATAAGGTTGAGCAATACCATACTGTGCTCTGCCTCCAATATTCTACCATACTGTATGATACTATACTACACTATGCTATACCAGACTGTATTATACTATATAGTATTTACTAACCTATACGTTTCTCTAGTATCCTGCATGCTATCAATTACAAGCCACGTACTGTATACACCGTTCCATACAGTACATAATAGAAAGTCATAGTTATAGACTATAGACATCATATTTAATCACTTGCTATACACTATACAGTTGTCACCATACACTATGCACTATATACTATACCACACTATGAAATACTATACTATTCTATATTATACTAGGTATACTATATTCTTTCTACTCTACAAAACTATAGAATTCTAGACTTTGCCAACCTGGAAACGAAATCTCACAGAAGTTTACATAACACGAATAGCATCTCACAAAATTTAACAGTACTTAACCAGCTTGTTCAACGGTCGAATGAACAAATACATGGCGAATGAGCGAGCTAACTAACCATTCGACACATAAGCCAACCAACTGACTGACTGACTGGTCAGTTCCGTTAATCAACTCACCAGCCAGTGAATGGTATGTGAGTGCGCTTGTACACATACATATATATATATATATAGAGATTCAATATAGATATGCATTTCGAGGTTTAGGGGCTTCGTCGTAATTTCGGACAGCAGTTCGGCACTGTTGCAACAAATCACCTAGCCGGGGACCCTCATTCACGAAAGTAACCTTGAGATTGCGGTTGGGCTCTCTGGGCGGCAGAATGTCTCGAAACACCAGACACCAAACCCTCAACCCAAAACCCTGATCCAAAATCAGGCCCTACATCCCAAAAGAACGCCAAACACCGCCTCCACCAAAGTGGCGAGCAAGAGGATGAAGACCCAGGCCTGCGCTTTTGGGGATGGGGCATTTTCTGCGCAGAAGCTTCCAGCTGTTGGAGTGGAAAATGTACTGTTTTGGCGAAGATTTGGGGATCGGAGCGGTTGCGCAACAAAACAAACCCGAGCCTTCAGCGCTTGTCGACACGTGACCAACCACCTAAACTCCGAGTATGCAGTATTGCGATTGTCTTTTTGCGGTGAGTCCGCTCTGCCAGCTAGTTTCGTGCTACTGACCATTTACTATAGACCACTTACTACTTACTCCTTCTCCCTTTCTCAGTATTCTTTACAACATACTACGTACACTTTGCTGCATCCTACCTGCTCTTACTTACTAAGAAACTACTACTACTACTACTACT